ATCAGAGGAGCTCCAGCATATTTTAACAATCCTAAGTATTGTAGTACAGGATGATGATAGTGAGTGGTGTCCCTTACCTTGAGGTTACCTTGAGGTGCTTCCGGGGCTTAGCGTCCCCGCGGCCCGGTCGTCGACCAGGCTGTTAGACGCGGCTGCTCGCAGCCTGACGTATGAGTCACAGCCTGGTTGATCAGATATCCTTTGGAGGTGCTTATCCAGTTCTCTCTTGAACACTGTGAGGGGTCGGCCAGTTATGCCCCTTATGTGTAGTCAGCAGAGAACATAAAGGTATAGTGCTTTTGAAAAATAGGCGAGATAACAGGAATGTGCCAAGGAAAGTGAAAAATTGGATGAGGAAAAGTTGCCCTAGTGTTTCCAGTGCAGAGAAGAACATTCAAGATGGCCGTCAGCAAGAGGAAATACAAAACAGAGCTTGATTTTGCTGGATTCAATGAAGAAAGCATTGATATAACCAGTCTATACAACAAGTTGGTAAAATTAGATACTATAGTGAACTCTCATGTAGAAATAATTAGTAAATTAAAAGAAAGTAATGACTATTTAAATAGCAAAGTTGTATATCTTTAGGGTTTAGTGGAAAACTTGCGCAAGGATAAGATTCAATTGGAAACAAATTGCAAAGCCATGGAAGAAGAAACTAAACTCTTAAAAATAGCTTTGGAAGAAGTTTAAGTATATTTAAACATAAATAACTACAATAGGTTAGGTAAGGAAATTCAACAGGAGAAACAGCTTTTGTCAGCACAGATGGAGGAAGTTACCCAGGGAATAGAACAGTGCAAGAAGGATATGCAACTCACTTATGCACAAGTGGCCAAGGAGAAGGAAAAAATTGAAGAAGCAGTAAAGGAAGTCAAACACTGCAGCAACCAAGATAAAACAAACATTAGGCTAGAAGTGAGGAAAGAATTGGCATCTAACCCGAAGTTGGTGCAAAACACAGTTGATCGGAGTAAGTCCTTGATAATTTTTGGTGTCAAAGAAAAGGAGATAACATCTAGGTCAGAAAGAGCTGTAGAAGAAGCAAAAGTAGTAGATAAAATTGTTGGCCTCGTGGAAGGTCTTACAACCATAGAGAATGTGTGCGACTACAGGAGAATAGGCAGGTACGTAAAAGGGAAAGATCGACCTTTGAGGATCACCTTAAACGGTGCCAAACAGATGGAAGAAGTACTAAGGAATGCTAGAAAATTACAAAGTGATGAGGACGGGAAAGTGTGGTCGTTAGGACGAGATCTTTCAAAAAAAGATAGAGAGAAGCTGAAACTGAACCTCGCCGAGGCAAAACGTTTAAATGAGAGCAGGAATGAAGAAGAAATAAAAAAAAATCTACAAAGTGATAGGGGTAGGCAGACCAGTAAAGAGGTACATAAAGGCAAACCAACAAAATCATTAGAGAGAGGGGGAGTGAAGAATAAGAAGAGGGGGAACAAGTTCCTGAAGATTGCATACACCAACATAGATGGAGTAAGATCGAAGTTCAGTGATGTAATACAGCTGCAGACACCAGACATTGTTGCACTCACGGAGACAAAACTTGAAGATATTATTTTAAATGAGGTCATATTCCCAAGGGGCTACTCAATTTGGAGACGGGACAGAAAAATTAGGAAAGGCGGTGGCGTTGCTGTGCTGGTAAAAGAACACCTAAAGGTGAACGAAATAATGACTGCCAATCCACAAGAAGTTGACATAATAGCACTAGAGATCTGCCATGAAGATGATAAACTAATGATCATAAATGCATATTGTCCACCGCCAAGCAGCACATGGTCAAAGGAGGAGCTAGATAGTAAATGAGAAGGTCTTATAACAATAATGAGAGAGTTTATAGCAAGAGCGGATAACGATAGATCACGACAGTTGATAGTCGGTGACTTCAACTTGAAAGCCATAGACTGGGAAGCATATGAAGCTAAAACAGAAGATTTTTGGACCTGTAAATTTGTAGACCTCATCCTGGAAACATTCTTGTATCATCATGTTAAACAAGCTACGAGGATGAGGGAAGAGGACGTTCCCTCCATGCTAGATTTGATATTTACCAGGGAGGAAGAAATATTTGACATTCAGTACCTTCCTCCCTTGGGTATAAGTGGCCATTTTGGGGGGGAATAAAGTATGCAATGCGTTATAATCTGGAAGAAAATAAGAAGGTTGAAGCAATTGAAAAACCTGACTTTAGGAGAGGACATTATGGCAACCTTAGAAAATTTTTTAGTGAGTATAATTGGACAGACTTGTTGCTAGGCAAGGATGTAAAGGAGATGTATATCAAGTTTTTTGAAATATATGATAAAGGCACAAAAAAAATTACACCAAAACAGAGATGCAGAACTAGGAAACAGGATTGGTTCAACAGAAATTGCGAGAGAGCCAGAGACCAAAAGACACAAAAATGGAATCAATACAGGAAGAGGCCGAACCTCAAACATACCAGCGATACAAAGATGCCAGAAACAACTACACGGCAGTGAGGAGAGAGGCAGAAATAAATTTTGAAAAAGGGATTGCAGACAAATGTAAAACAGAACCAGGTCTATTCTATAAATTCATAAACAACAATATGCAGGTAAAGAATAATATTCAGAGGTTGAAAATGGGAAATAGATTCACGGAAAAGGAAAAGGAAATGTGTGAAACATTAAACGAAAAGTTCCAAAGTGTGTTTGTACAAAATGAAATCTTCAGGGAACCAGACACAAGAAGAATTCCAAAGAACAACATAGAGCACATAGAGGTGTCTAGAGACGAAGTGGAAAAAATGCTCAAGGAGCTAAGTAAAAACAAAGCAGTTGGTCCAGATGGAATTTTACCATGGATTCTGAGAGAATGTGCACCTGAGCTTAGCATTCCACTTCAACTGATTTTTCAGGCATCCCTATTTACAGGAGTTGTAGCTGATGTGTGGAAAAAGGCTAACATAGTTCCAATCTACAAAAGTGGAAGCAGGGAAGACCCCCTTAATTATAGACCTGTATCATTGACAAGTGTAATAGTCAAAATATTGGAAAAAATAATTAAAACTAAATGGGTAGAACACCTGGAGAGAAATCATATATCAGACAGACAGTATAGTTTTCGATCTGGAAGATCCTGTGTATCGAATTCATTCAGTTTCTATGATCGAGTCACAGAGATGTTACAGGAAAGAGATGGTTGGGTTGACTGCATCTATCTGGACCTAAAAAAGGCTTTCGACAGAGTTCCACATAAGAGGTTGTTCTGGAAACAGGAAAATATTGGAGGGGTGACAGGTAAGCTTCTAACATGGATGAAAAAATTTCTGACTGATAGAAAAATGAGGACAGTAATCAGAGGCAATGTATCTGACTGGAGAAATGTCACAAGTGGAGTACCACAGGGTTCAGTTCTTGCACCAGCGATGTTTATTGTCTACATAAATGATCTACCAGTTGGTATACAGAATTATATGAACATGTTTGCTGATGATGCTAAGTTAATAGGAAGGATAAGAAATTTAGATGATTGGCATGCCCTTCAAGATGACCTGGACAAAGTAAGTATATGGAGCACCACTTGGCAAATAGAATTTAATGTTAATTTAATTAATAAATGCCATGTTATGGAATGTGGAATAGAAGAACATAGACCCCACACAACCTATATATAATGTGAGAAATCTTTAAAGAATTCTGATAAAGAAAGAGATCTACGGGTGGTTCTAGATAGAAAACTATCACCTGAGGACCACATAAAGAATATTGTGCAAGGAGTCTATGCTACGCTTTCTAACTTCAAAATTGCTTGTAAATACACGGATGGCGATATACTAAAGAAATTGTTCATGACTTTTGTTAGGCCAAAGCTAGAATATGCAGCTGTTGTGTGGTGCCAATATCTTAAGAAGCACATCAACAAACTGGAAAAGGTGCAAAGACATGCTGCTAAGTGGCTCCCAGAACTGAAGGGCAAGAGCTACGAGGAGAGGTTAGAGGCATTAAATATGCCAAAACTAGAAGACAGAAGAAAAAGAGGTGATATGATCACTACGTACAAAACAGTAACAGGAATTGATAAAATCGATAGGTAAGATTTCCTGAGACCTGGAACTTTAAGAACAAGAGGTCATAGATTTAAACTAGCTAAACACAGATGCCGAAGAAATATAAGAAAATTCACATTCGCAAACAGAGTGGTAGACGGTTGGAACAAGTTAGGTGAGAAGGTGGTGGAGGCCAACACCGTCAGTAGTTTCAAAGCGTTATATGACAAAGAGTGCTGGGAAGACGGGACACCACGAGCGTAGCTCTCATCCTGTAACTACACTTAGGTAATTACAGACGGTGAAACAGACTCCCACAGCATAATAGTGAACACACAGACGGTAAAACAGAGTCCCACAGCACAACAGTGAACACACAGACGGTGAAACAGATTCCCTTGGCAATTTTTTTTTTTACTAACACATTTAGGTACATCTGCATTTGTGTAGCTACCCTAGACAATATGAAGGGGAGTTCAGTGTGTTAAAAAGTTAGCTACGTGGTGCTATAAATCCTCATCACACTGGATGGTTAGTCATACCGAGGCGTCTAATAAGTAGTCTGCACTGGCAGACTCTCGCCTAATTATGAGTGCGGGGGTTGAGCTCTGGCTCTTTGGTCCCGCCTCTCAACTGTCAATCAACAGGTGTACAGGTTCCTGAGCTCATTGGGCTCTATCATATCTACACTTGAAACTATGTATGGAGTCAGCCTCCACCACATCACTGCCTAATGCATTCCATTTGCCAACTACTTTGATGGTTGCATTATGGGTGGGTGCCAACCATGGGTGCATTATGTGGATATCATGAACACAAGAGTGAATAAGGTAACAGTGATACTAAAAGTCCCCATCTCGCTGGATGGTTAGTCATACAGCGCCATATGTTCAGTAGCCTGCACTGGCAAATTTTGGGTGCACTATGAGGATATCTTCAAGAACTCGAGAGTGAATAAAGTAATTGCAAAGCTCCAGGTACCTCATGCCAACGAGTCTGAATGGTCTAATAACTGGACATTCGGTGATGTAGTGTGGGAGATCATGCACAGCACAAAAGTGTGACTCTAATCTTGTTTACAGTGGAAAGGTTTCGGGAAATCCTAAAGAGCTTCCCATCAGTGTCGCGATGAGATAATGTAATGTTTTGTCTCCACGAGATGTTCACCCGCTGGGAATAGAACTGGAGCTCTAAAACACATTAAGAGACGTGCGCTAGCTCGGAATAGAACTGGAGCTCTAAAACATGAAAAGATACGGTCACCTGCTGAGAATAGAACTGGGGCTCTAAAATACAATAGGAGACATGCGCTAGCTCGGAATAGAACTGAGCTCTTAAACACAACAAGAGACGATCTCCAACTGATAATAGAACAGATGATCTATATCACACCAATAGATGGTCATCTGCTAAGAAGAGAAATGGGGCTCTAAGACACAACAAAAGACGTAAGTCTGATGGAAATAAAATGGAGGCTCTAAAAGACAACAAGAAACGTACACCAGCTTGTAACTGTATTATGGGCACTAAAACACTGGAGTGTACACCAGTTGGCAAGAAAACTGGGAGCTCTATGCTCAACACGCACCCAGTACTAACTTATACTTGCAATGGTCGCTGTTCACCCAGCAGTAACCTGCACGTTCATCACATTGGTCCTGTTCACTCAGCAGTAACCTGCACGTTCATCACATTGGTCCTGTTCACCCAGCAGTAACTTGCACGTTCATCACATTGGTCCTGTTCACTCAGCAGTAACTTGCACGTTCATCACATTGGTCCTGTTCACTCAGCAGTAACTTGCACGTTCATCACATTGGTCCTGTTCACTCAGCAGTAACTTGTATCTTCACGTATATTGTTGTTGGATCATGTTCTGGGAGCATCCTGTATGATTATGATATAAAATAAGGTGTAGTATCAATTGTTCGTAGTCTGAAAAAATATTAAATTAAGGTTGGAAACTCACGATTATTTCCTCTAAAGATACTGTGTGTATAGAATACATCAGAATATTCGTCAGGCGATAACGACAGTGAATATTGGCTGTTTGTGGGGTAAAATGACGTGGTAGGAGAGTACAGCTGATGACGTAACCTTCCTCAGGCTCGCCGCCATGCTGCTGCTGACGGCGACGAGCGCCAGGTCCCCCAAGCACAAGCCTGACTTCAAACCTTACTATGATAAGCACCGGCTAGGAGGTAAGGCATAAGTCACATGTTTTGTATCAGATCACCTGGAATGAGGTTTATGCTATCTTCTTGTTATTTTGATAACCTTAAATGAGGTTAATGCTATCTTCTTGTTATTATGATCACCTGGAATGTGGTTTATGCTATCTTCTTGTTATTTTGATCGCCTGGAATGTGGTTTATGCTATCTTCTTGTTATTATGATCACCTGGAATGTGGTTTATGCTATCTTCTTGTTATTTTGATCGCCTGGAATGTGGTTTATGCTATCGTCTTGTTATTTTGATCGTCTGGAATGTGGTTTATGCTATCCTCTTGTTATTTTGATCGTCTGGATTGTGGTTTATGCTATCTTCTTGTTATTATGATCACCTGGAATGTGGTTTATGCTATCTTCTTGTTATTTTGATCGCCTGGAATGAAGTTAAAGTCAGTCGCCTTGCTCTTTACCTGTTCAGAGGTTCACTCAGCCCTTACATGCCCAGTTATGAGATCCATACTTCACATCTCGTTCACAGTGGCTAAATCTGTATTTATTAAACTTTTTTTCGAGCTCCGAGGAGTCGTCTTCTTGAGGTTATCATGAGATAATTTTGGGACTTAGCGTCCCCGCGGCCCGGTCCTACACTAGGCCTCCTTTTTGTTACACACCCCAGGACTCAGCCCGTAGCAGCTGTATAACTCCCAGGTACCTATTTACTGCTAGGTAACAGATGTATCCGGGGTGAAAGAAACTCTGCCAATTTGTTTCCACCTCCACCAGGGGATCGAACCCGAAACCTCAGGACTATGAATCCGAAGCGTTGTCCACTCAACTGTCAGGCCCCCATGACTGCATCTGTTTCAGTAATAACCTTGGGTTGAGGGTAAATTCGTAGCGATATGAAGATAAGTAACAATTTAATAAACCGCCATGACCGACGAAAGATATACAGACATCTTAAGTGGTCACGTAAGTAGTGTGCGGATCTTCTCACAAATTTACTCTAATTCTTTACATTTTCTTTGCCGGGAAATGGCAGTTCTACCATAGTTTTGTGACAAGGTTAACAGATAAACCACAGGTATATGATTAACAAATATACCACTGGTATATGGTTAACAGACCACAAGTACAACGCATCCCCTGATCCCCCGGATCACTATTATATGGTTAACAAATAAACCCCTATTACATTTTCATCATGTAGATCACTAGTATATGGTTAACTGGTTAACAGACAAACAATTATGAATGAGCCCCAGACTCATTACCACAGCTGCTGACTCATTCCCACAGCTGCTGACTCATTCCCACAGCTCCTGACTCGTTCCCACAGCTGCTGACTCATTCCCACAGCTGCTGACTCATTCCCACAGCTCCTGACTCATTCCCACAGCTGCTGACTCATTTCCACAGCTGCTGACTCATTCCCACAGCTGCTGACTCATTCCTACAGCTGCTGACTCATTCCCACAGCTGCTGACTCATTCCCACAGCTGCTGACTCATTCCCACAGCTCCTGACTCATTCCCACAGCTCCTGACTCATTCCCACAGCTCCTGACTCATTCCCACAGCTCCTGACTCATTCCCACAGCTCCTGAATCATTCCCACAGCTGCTGACTCATTCCCACAGCTCCTGACTCATTCCCACAGCTGCTGACTCATTCCCACAGCTCCTGACTCATTCCCACAGCTCCTGACTCATTCCCACAGCTCCTGAATCATTCCCACAGCTGCTGACTCATTCCCACAGCTCCTGGCCCATTTCCGCATTCCCTGACTATTTCCCAGAGCCCTTCTATCATTTTTACAGACCCTGGCACATTCCCACAACCCGTGACTCATTCCCACAGCCTCTAACCCATTACCACAGCCTTTGACCCATTCCCAGATCCCTTGACTCATTCCCACAACCCCTGACGTTTCTTCCCGGCCCTGATTTTTCTGTAATGAGCCCAGTAATGTTCATGATATTCAATAATTAGTAATGAAGTCATTAGAAGGCAGATGCAGTTGTGAGTTGACAAACCTAAGATGCCAGCAGAATGATATACAATATAGAGATGAACATTATCTTGGTGTCATGATAAATAAGGACCTAAAACTAAGAAAACGTTGCATGAAAGTTAACAATGAGGACAATAAGGTGCAAGTTTTCACATGTGGGTGCGCTAGTAATAAAAGCTTCCTATTATTCCTTCCTATAACAAACGTGACTTAACATAAGCTTACCCCTTCCATTTTCTTTCTTTCTCTTTCCTTTTCTTTCTCTCTTCTCCCCTTTTTTCTGTGCATTGTCTTCTCCTACGCTCCCTTGCTATCCTCTTCTTATTCATATTACTATCTCCTTCGGTGGTTATAATAGGAGCTGCCTCGTATGGGCCAATAGGCCTGCTGCAGTTCTCATTATTACTACTATCCCCTACACCTTACTTTCCTCCTCAGCTCTCTCTTGCCTATTTATTGCCTGTCTCTACCTCCTCATCACAATCGACTTGAGAATGGTCCAGGACGGACCGAAACGTCGTCGTCCCTTCAACTTCTTGTGTGTGGTCTGGTCAACATACTTCAGCCACGTTATTGTGACTCATCGCCTGCAAAAGCTTCCTAGTTATCATTATTCCTGTAGTACAACCCCCAACCCGTTCTCACACTAGGCTGGTTAAAGCAGCGGCCGTCCTTACACTAGGCTGGTTAAAGCAGCGGCCGTCCTTACACTAGACTGGTTAAAGCAGCAGCCGTCCTTACACTAGGCTGGTTAAAGCAGCGGCCGTCCTTACACTAGGCTGGTTAAAGCTGCGGCCGTCATCCCCATACAACCCGTCCTCACACCACATAAAGTTTCAAGCTAAACTTTCTAATATGCTACACTCGTCTGAGGCCTATAGAAGAAGAACGAAATTTGATTATGAATTTTGATTCTACAAGGTAGCCAACTCCATCAAAATAATAAATATGTACCCAACTCAATTAATGATTAATCAACCAAGTACTCCATAGGATAACTGGGATCTATCAGTTGATTTTGTAAATGAACCTAAGAAAGATAGTGTACACACTACATTATTGAAACAGTTAACACCGAAAAGCATCACTGAAAGTACTCAGAGTATGGGTAACGATGTGTATCAGTGCTATACCGACGGTTCTGTAGAAGAAGGTGGACGATGTAACGGATGCGCATGTAACATATTTGAACAATCTTCTCTCGTACATACAGCAATGAAGCGCGTCAGTGACTGGGCAAGTACAACTCAAACCGAACTTGCAGGCATATACCTTGCCACTTAATTTTTAAAAGACAAAGGCAGTGGACTTATATACTGTGACTCCCAGAGTGCACTCCTGGTATTGAACGCACATAGTAGTGACACCCAGAAAATAGTCAGTGATATTCGAATGAATGTTTTAGCTGCTAAAGAAAACAGATTTGAATTTAAATTCCTATGAATACCATCACATGTTGGCATCTCAAGGCATGACACTGTTGATATGCTTGCAAAGACAGCCTGCAGAAAACCTGTAGAAGAAATGTATATGGGTGTTTCATTAGCAGTGACACAGTTCATATTTAAACCAATATCTAATGAAAATCTTACCTAACGTAACAAATTCACTCAGACCTGAAAGTTGTAACATTAAATATTATAATAAATATCGTGAGGAGACATTCCCATATGGGACTAATAGAGCAAGAACTCGGCAATGTGATGTTATAGTGGCCAGTATACGCCTGGGATATAGACGTATCTGGCAGCTTTCTCAAAACCCAAGTGCCGTATACACAATGTGTCAACTTTGTGAAAGAGAAAACATGCACTCTCTTGAACATTATATTGTAGAATATCCCATATTGACTGACTTTAGTCCTCCTGGGCTGCGGTATGCTGAACTCTGTAAATACTACATGAACACAGGAACACTTGATGATATATGAGACTTGAACCCAAGATTGACCATGTAATGTATCAATTATGCAAAGTATGTGATGTGACTATATAACCTGAGCCTGTAAAAGCATCTTAATCACCTTTAGTGGTTACACATTAATTTCTATATCAACTATCTTACCCTCTCAGAGAAGAAGAGACATAAATGTAGGTGTATATGTATGTGTATTCAGGATATGTGGAAGCTGGCCAGAATTGCAGTTCACCTTAGTAAATGCTCATTAATGAAACTATGTAAAAGACACACAGAACACTTTATGTAGGGCAGACGTAAATCTGTGAATCTATGTATTTATGTATGTAGGCTAGATTAGCATTTTAAAAGCACTACAATCACCTTCTGTGGTTAATTGTTCAATAAATTCCTGAACAATATGCCTAACAGATCTCTAACCCTGTCCACGGAGTACAAAAGAAAAAGTATATATGTTGATTAGCATTGTAAATGTGTGCCCACGTCTGTGGTAGAAAATAATTAACAAAAATCGACTGTTTAAAGCAGCGATCTTCCTCACCAGACAACCTGACCTCACACTAGGATGGCTAAAGCAGCGGCCTTCCTCACCAGACAACCTGACCTCACACTAGGATGGCTAAAGCAGCGGTCGTCCTCCCCAAACGCATTCATCGAATTTTAACATACTGTATATACAAGATTGGTTTGTTCTCATATATAAATTAATAGTATTATACGTAAAATTCTATATATAGTTAGGCGTAGATTATATTACATTAAGTTAGGTGTTTAGGTTCTGCTGTCGATTATTTGTATTTGTAGTATGTGGGTGAAGCATTTCAACCCGTCCTCGACTTAAGTCCATTACATCCAGCGTTCGACCCCATAGACGCATTTATAAATTTTTACATGCTGTTCATTCATAACGGGAATTTTCTCATATATAAATTATTATTACAATATATTAGCATATTGAGTATATATAGGCATAGGTTAGGTTAGACACTCACAATCGACTTAAGAATGGTCCAGGATGTACCGGAACGTCGTCGTCCATTCACTTTCTAGTGTGTGGTTTGGTCAGCATATTTCAGTCACGTCATTGTGACTCCTCGCC